AAGAAGAGGTCTGGAAAACAAAATTATCTGCTAAAAATAGACCACGTGCTGCTATCCATGAACTACTTTCATGGTTCTTTACACTCTTTTTGAAGACAACGATACCTTGTTTTGAACTTAAAATTATCATTTAAAAGTGCAAAATTTAGACATTTTCTCAACAAATGGTTGTAGAGAGAACATTGATGCACATTTTGCATATTTTTTTGGATTTTTTAAGGCTCTGCTGAATTCTGTAGCTGCGCAGTTCTAAGGAGCATATCAAAAGCATTTTTCTGCAAAAGTATAGATTATATATGCACAACATGTATTCAGTTATGAATATTTATAGTATCTTTATCATAAGGACTTAAAATTTGATCAAAATATGATGTATTTTAGCCATTTGATTGAATGTTTACATTTTGTTCTCACAGCACTAAAGGTGGCCGTACATCCCCCTTAATGAAACATACAGATATTCCTGAAAAGATTTTAGAAGAAACTGGAAAAGATTTGTATTGTTTGAACAATTTTGCGAAAGAAAAATTGTGACGGTTAAAAGGATTTAAAAGAAGTGAAAAACCATAATAATGGCGATAAAAATAAAAAAATACAACGTTATTTTGATGGTTGTTGTTCACAATAGCTTTTTGATTTTGCATTTAATGAGTTAACTAAATCATAAAATTAAATGAAAATTGTCACTTATGTTTTTGGCTCGGATTAACAGCAAAACATTCGCGTTCTAACGCAAAAGTTACAAGTTTAGTTGCCTTATAATTATCGGGGTTTTTTATATAACGCGAAAAAATATATGTTGAAACCTACAAAAGATAAGCTCATTGGCATTGTTTTATTAAAGGAAAAAACATTCTTTGACTTTGATTTTTGACCCATAGATAAATACGAAATAAAAAAATAGCAATCGCTATGGGCTGTCAATGGACTATTTAATTCTTGTACTCTTATTACTATACAATTTTGAATAGTTAGGATAGGTCCTCAGTACCCCCTTGCTTGTTGTAAAAGGCGACTAAACGGGGCGGTCCTTCGAATGAGACCGTATAAACCGAGGCCCCGTGTCAAAGCAGGTATGGCACGATAAAGATCCCTCCCTGCTCAAAGGCCGAAAGTGCCGAGCATAGGCCTAAATTTGCAGCCCTTCACTTGCAATGGTGACGTCTCCATATCAGTGAAATATTCTGGAGAGGGACGTTAAACAATATACAATCATACAATACAATTCTCTTTGAAAAATAAATCCATATATAGATTTATACGAAGCGTTTTTTTTTCAAGAATTACATAGACAATAAAGAAATTAATTAATCATATTTTATCAATTTATAGATTTCTTATTTTATCTCACTCTTCCTATATTCATCAGGTAAATATATTTGTCCAGAGCAACAGTTTTACTGGGAAATGAATGGTGTCCAATCTTAATTGTATCCTTTATTTTATTGTAGTATATTAGAATTGATTATTTTTTATTTCTTTAATAAAATTCCAATTGTGAACGCAAGTCTTCCGTTTCCACTTCTCCTACATATATATGTACGAAATAGAATTCTCGAATGTGGACAATCTCCCCTTCTTTTTTAAAAACGATTTTACATGCCTGCACTAATCTGAAAAAATCTATATTTCTGGTCCTCAAGGAAATTAGTTTTACTTCCAGGTTTGACTAAAATGAGCATGGTCTGAGAAAATCATAATCTACATGTATTCAGGCTTTAATGGCTCGTACATATATTACGGGCTCTACATTCTGTACAGAGAGTTTTTGCAGACTTAAACAACTATTTCTGAAAAATTGTAATGTGTTGTACTTAGAAAGAGACTAATGGACATCCTGATAGTTTTTCAAATACTGTAAAAGTACCTTTTTTCCGCGTGGTATTAATTTACGCTGTGTACGCGGTCACAATTTTTCCGCGAAAATTTGTCCAAGCATACTCAATATAAATGTAGGGCATACCAGTAAAGTGATAGTCTAGGAAATCCGCGTAGTTTTCTGCACGCAGATCCAGCAGAAATCATTAACAGCACCATTGACAGCGTGCATGTATTTTTAGACACATTAAATTGGTATGTGTGCACAGGCTCAAGACACTGTAAAGCGTTCTGGGAGCCCATACGAGATATCTTCACAAAACGTACCAGTGACATTTCGTTCAAAATTTCACCTGCATTACTGTAAATCAATTTGTACATGCATACATTGATGGTTGAAGAAAGAGGCAATGTAGCAGTAATGTATACTTTTTTATGTAGCGTTAATGTAACGTTTTTTGTACATGTAGCGGTAATGACTACTTAGCGGTAATGAAAATTTCGAAAATGTAGATTAATGGAGTTTTATGAAAAGACTTACTTTTACAATCAACGACTGTTTTTTTTTACAATTTATACAGAGACAAACTCCAATCACTGAAATGTAAAAGTCAGCTGTGAAATGTTAAAGTAAGTCTCTTCATAAAACTCCACTGATACGCACCATTGTAAACATACACATTTTCAATTATAAATTGATAGACCAATACTCAAATAATTAACCTAATTATACATGTACATATTCACATAAATATTCTATCTAAATATTATATTTTTTTTTATCTCTATGAATCTTTAACCAAGTCATCTAAATTTTTAAGGTTTTAATGAAAATAATAAGTAAATTGAATTTCGTTGTTTATTTCCTATTATCAAAGAAAGCAATTAGTTCTTAACTTGGTAAACATAAAATTTTTAATATCTATAGGATTTTTTTTCGAAATTATTTATTAGATTTATTGATTGTATATTGTGTAACATCCCTCTCGAGAAATTTTATTCATAAGGAGACGCCATCATTTGCCGGTGGAGAGCTGCAAATTTTGTTCTTTAATAGGTATTCAGGTCATTTAGCAGACAAGGATCTTTTTCGTGCCAGCACCCTTGCGACGCAGGACTTCGGTTTATACGGTCACATCCGAAAGACCGGTCTCCATGTCCCACAGTGGAATTCGAACCCGCGACGTAAAGATCAACTCCTTACTTCGCGACTCTAGAGCAGACGCTCTAACCACTGCGCCACGCGGGTGATTGTTTATAAGAAAGGAGAATGTTATTTTAAGTGCATTAAGGATTATTAAAGTTAACTGTACTTGCAAACTCTTTTCTTTGAACACATTCAAATTTTAACTTTTTTTATTTTGTGTAGATAGTATATTGAAAATATTACCAGTATTATATCTGTCAACTTAAGAAAAATCTCTTTCTCAAATATATACTAGTGCATTTTTACACTTGTATTGTCAGGCGACTTCATACTTACCGAATATCAATTATTCAAACTTGAAGTACTAATATATTTATTAACTTAAATACAACAAAGAATAAAACAACTCACATACATGTAGCACCGACTGAAAGGGTAATGGAATTGTTCAACAATTCAATAGACCTATAAAAAAAAGAAAAACTCGTGCATCTTGAAAGTAGTCCGTGTACATATGCATTCAGCAGCGTATGTGCACAATACAGTAAAATTCGGTTATGACATAATCTCTCGGACCTCTGAGATAACTTTTCAATATCCATAATTTGTTTTATCCGTATACTACGGAAGCCCAATAGTGCAAACCAAAAATAAATAAAGAAAAACGAAATTATTAAATAAAGAAAAACGAAATTATTAGATAAAGAAAAACGGAATTAATATATAAAGAGAAACGAAATTGATATATAAAGAAAAACGAAATTATTAAATAAAGAGAAACGAAATTATTAAGCAACGAAAAACCAAATTAATGTATAAAGAAAAACGAAATTATTATATAAAGAAAAACCAAATTAATATATAAAGAAAAACGAAATTATGAAATAAATCATTTTGTTTTTCTTTATTTAACAATTTTGTTTTTCTTTATTTAAAAATTTCTTTTTTTTTTAAATTAATTTGGTTTTTCTTTATTTAATAATTTCGTTTCTCTTTATATATTAATTTCGTTTTTCAAGTAGAAAACTGAAACTAAAATACGGAATTTACAGATGTGCATGGTGAGGGCTTGAACCCATAAATCATTAGAGCACGCGTCTGTTAGACCTGATTTTGTTTGCCTTTGCACTCACCGACTCCCATATCGAATACACAACCATTACAACATGAATGGGGGAGAATTTAACCTTTGGTATCTAATAGTAATATGCTTAGATTTGTGTTTTTATCATGCATTAACATGATTAATGTGAACTTTAATCAGTCTGATAAATTGGCCAGTAATTCGGTGAAATAATGACTGTAACAATTCGTTTAATATCATTAGCTTTCTTAACCCTCTGCCCGAAAGGTCTGATGATCAGCAAATAATGAATCTGGACACGTAAATAATGACTTTGGAAATGAAACATTAAAGAAATTATCCTAATAAATTGCACAAATATTTAAGATAAACGTGAAGGTTAAGATTCCGTTGTTATGTACTGTTGAATTTTTAACATTTAGGAAATACCCATGGCTTTACAGTACATGCTAAGAAAATTCCGTAAAATAATACGTTACTGATCGGACTTTGTGGGTTTGTTTGATATTGTAAAAAAATGTTTAAAAAGAACAAGTGAAAAAATTAAACAAGTCAAAGTGGTTACAATAAGTAGATTTTAATGATTGCCCACTATATTAGAAATAAAGTAAAACACTTCTGATTTCTTGGTCTTAATAAATGTCAAATTCTCAATCTGTACTATTTACAAGTCAGTGGTAGTGTATGACTAACTACTATATAATTTGATTTCACATATTCGAAATGACAAACTCTTAATCTGTATTTATTAGTTAGTGATATTTGTGAACAAACAACGCACACACTTGCATAAAACAAATCCCACAAAGTAATCAAATCATTTTTCTCTTTATAATAAGTTTCAACAACCTAAGATTTATGGGTACACAGAGAGGACGCTAGGTTAAGTGGGAATTCAGTAAAACGATACTCAAGGTCTTGAACTTCTCGCGATTCACGAGATTAATTGAAATGTCATTAATTCTATGCAAACAGAAACAGCCATCCTCTCTAAGTCCAGGCTTACAGGCTCCAACAATGATGTGGGGATATGACACAGCAACAACTTCCCGTAAACAAAATTGAATAGTTTATGAATTGTTTACGGAAATGGGAATTTTAGGCTGTGTGCACATATTTTTTTCGACGTTTGTTAATTTGATATTTATATCTTCTTTAATTTTTCATTTCCACCACACATTTGTAATGTCGAGATAAGGCGTAAAGAGTTTCGAGGTGATGCTTTATAACATGTGGGCTTTATGGAATGATTCATTGGTTCAGGCCCTTACCATGCACATCTATAAATTCCGTATTTTAGTTTCCGTTTTCTACTTGAACAACGAAATTAATATATAAAGAGAAACGAAATTATTAAAAGTAAAAAACGAAATTAATAAATAAAGAAAAACAAAGTGATTTATTTAATAATTTCGTTTTTTCTTTATATATTAATTTCGTTTCTCTTTATTTAATAATTTCGTTTCTCTTTTTTTAATAATTTCGTTTTTCTTCATATATTAATTTCGTTTCTCTTTATATATTAATTTCGTTTTTCTTTATTTGATAATTTCGTTTCTCATTATATATTAGTTTCGTTTCTCTATATATATTAATTTCGTTTATCTTTATTTAATATTTTGTTTTTCTTTATTAAATAATTTCGTTTTTCTTTATTTAATAATTTCGTTTTTCTTAATTTATTTTTGGTTTGCACTATTGGGCTTCCGTAGTATACTAAGGAATAAGTTAAATTGATTAAGATGAGGATCCAAGATAAACTGAAATTTAAAGATGTGTGTTTAAGTATCGTCTCTCAAAGTAACTATTTTGTTTATCGGAGGCTCGGGATGTCGTCTGTTATGCTTTGGGATACCTTTCTTATCCCCAACTCCTAATATACCTATGAATGAAATTTGATGCGACTTTCACAGAATCTTTATCACATATTGCCATTTTGCACCTATTTTACTCGTCTTTTTTTTTTGTCCCCTTTGGGGACCAAATCAAACAAATAATTGTATATTTTGTACACTATAGTGATGAACTGGATGAGTTAAGGAGTCAATGAGAGGACAATTGATAAAGAGATTATACATGGAATTTAGAACCATCAAAATTTAAAAAATCGATAGCTTTTTAAAAAAAATATAGACGCATAATATTGGGATGACCACCAAAGCTAATTAACATCTACATTGTATTAATCATTCTAAATGACTGTTTTTGTTCTTCAAATATTGCTCCTAATTTTAAAAGGAAGGAAAAGACCCTAATAATTTCATGATTTACAGGACTCCTTGCAAACGACTGGAAACCTTACCGATTTCGACAATACAGCTTAGAAGTGTCAAATTCCTCTGCTATACAAGATTGGTTCCAATGTTACAAAGATGACACTCCAGATTCCCGCATACCATCAGACATACAGAATATTCCATGTGAAAGAACAGCCAGATACCTCAGAATAAGAACAAGATATGATGCTCCTGAAGATAATAGATATTGGATCACAGGGGCTATACTTGAAATATGTGAAGTTAAAGTTTACGGTAAGGAATAGAAATTGCCTTTTAATCCTTTACAGATTAATATTTGAAGTTTGCCGAATACAGTAATGCGTTTTAAAGAAAAAATAAACATTTCGAGGACCATGAATAACGCAAAGATATATTGTAAGAGGCATAGATCGTGATTGAAACAGTCCGACATTTCCATAAATGACAAGGGGGTAATGACAAATAAATAATATTTTGAATACAGGACTTCTATTCACTTTATCTGCAAATATTGTGAAGTGTTGTGTCATTTTAAAATAGAGCATGTAGAAGAAATGATATTAATTTCAATAATGACATATTATGAATTATATATTGGGAAAAGAGAAGAAAAATGAATTTTTAAATAACACATAAAAAATATAGCAGGTTATCAATGGGGAAAAATGTTATAAATGATGTTAGTTTGGATAAAATATTTATGAACAGTTATATCTCCATGAGAAAAGATAAATTAAACTTTATTTTTAAGAATAATACAAACTTTTTTTTCAGGATCACAAATATTTCTCAAAGATTCACATTCAAATTGTTGACCTGAATAATGTTTACCAACTATAATGGGATGTTTTTATAAAAAAAAATATAAGGTTAAAAATTTGTGCAAAATCAATGCATCAAAATTTTATTTGTGTTAAGTACTCTTAAAACCTGATTCTCAAACTTTATTTATTCTAATGCAAAAAGTGTTTTTGACTGACCCTCCAACAAAAATGAAAGAATTATCATACTGATAATGTATGTTCTTTAAATATAGATTGCTTAGTGAGGAAAACTTTTTGGAAAGCTATTTCTCAGTGTTATTATTAATTAAATGAAGCAAGCTATCGGAAAGGAGAGCAAAATATGTATTCTTAGAAAGAAAAGTAAAGGGGAAGGGCAGCCCCCTCTCATTCAATACAATGCTTGTATACTGTGAAAACTCGTTGAAATGAAAAGAAATTAATGTTTTTGTCGAGTTCAATAAAATATAACGTTGGTATTTGCATACCAGGAAAAAGTGATTTTTTTTATCAAATTAAAAAATAAGCCGATTATTCAATAAAAAGATGCGACTGAATGATAACTAAAAGGTCACTAAAATGTATTTGCCATTCAGTCGACCTTTAGATTCTGCAGCTTGATTACGTTTTCGTTTAATTCATAGGGATTTATTTGTGTCAAAATCAGTTAAAAACTGCGGTAAAAAATGCACAAATTACAAAAGGTGGTCAAGAAGTACGTAATTAAAATGCCTTTAATTTCAAATGATTACAAATCAAATATTTTAAATAAGTCCATTTATATGTGATTTATTTCCTTGTGTCGGAAGTTAAAGGATTATTTGTAACAAACATTTCTAATTTAACCAAAGGTTTTGTAAAGGATTGATCATTGCTAGAATAACATTTGAGGGATAATCCTCCTGAAGACATTTTATGAGATTTAATTGAACTTATTTGATGCCGAAATTTACTCTACAGGTTGTGATATCGGTTATTATGGTCCAAACTGTTTGTCTTGCGGAGGCTGTGCAAACTGTGACATTGTAACTGGTTGTCGTAAGTAGTGCTAAAGAACAAACATGAAATTCTTGAACATTTTATATTTCTCTCATACCTTTATTATGCAGCTACTATGAACCTATTCCATTACGTTATTCCTATCCAAATGAATAGTTACATATCGTGAAGACGCGAAATGCTCTTAAAAAGTTCTTGTTTTTTTTGTTGTTGTTATTGGACCCTTTTATAACCACAGTCAACTCTAAACAGACTGTTTATGTATGGAGTCGACTTAATAACGTAATTTCAAAACATTTTGCTACTATGATACAAACATTTCAAAAGATTTTTAAAAGACATTTCAAAAGTTATTAAAGAAAATAAAAAAAATGGAAGTGGAGGCGAGGTATAAAATTTAGTCTATTTTTGTGGCATAATAATAAAAATTCATGAAGCATACACTTAATAACTTCTAAGTTTTCACTCTAATAAACGTATTTATTTTAAAACTAGATGGTAGAACGGTGTAATATTTTTTTAATTATTATAACCAACAATTGTCGAAAGAAAATCAATTATCACAGATGAAAACCAATCTCCTATGACAATCAATCTATTTAAAAAATAAAAATGTAAATAAGGGTACGTGTTTTATATAATCAGTATCTTTTTGTGACCAGTATCAATTTTTAACAACTGGTTTAACTAAAAAAACACGCGATATTGGCATAATGACCATTGAAAAAGTCAGAAGAGTATTTGGAATGTTGATATCTAGATCATCCTTCTATCACGTTTTACTTATTATTAGTTTAACGTTTGCTTTGTCCTATATATAACATTTAAAAATTAATAACAATCCATTCAACCAAATTTTCTATTCGTTTGCTTCATTTTTATCGCCAATTTGTCACAATTCAAAAGCATAGGACAAAATTTAACCAAGATTTCTCGTCACATGTTAAGAGAGTGTTTCTTTGTCCTGAAACAGTATCAGAAATCTTAAAACAAACAACTTCAATGGCAAAAAAATGATAAGAAATTGGTACTCGTGGTTGTCTACTAATATCTCAAACAGTCTGCACATCCTTAAAGTGTGCTTAACACCCAATGATATTGACCAGAAGGCATTTGTATGATGATACACAAATCAAATCAAGGGCTCTGAATCCCATTTAAGACATTTGGTATTTTGATAAGAAATAACAGCCCCTCCACAAAATTTAAACGGTTTGGTAGCAAATGTGCTAGTCTCCTATTAATGGGTACATGGTATCGACAAGGAAAGGATTTCTTACAGTAATTAGAGTGAGTGGTGATCTTACTCCATGTATATTATTTTATGTAAATTTTCATATTGAGAGAGATCATGTGCTTGAAACTTGGCTTAAAATTCTGTCGAGATGATTACATGCATTTTACGCAATGTCGAACAGAAATATGCATTATTTACCATAAATTAAAGAAATCATTTAGTGTATACATTTGTTATTTAAAACATTTAAAAAATGTTGAGTGAACACTGAGGAGTTTAGTTCTGTGTATAAATGTTCCAGTCTTGCAATTGATCTACTTAAAGGATGTAATACATGTATGTGTTGTATGTTTATTAAGCGGCGGTAATATGCAGCAATAATTGCGTAGAGACGCAATGCAATGGAAATGGAATCTGCACCCGAGGGTGTAATCAAGGATACTGGGGAGATAGATGTCAGAACGTCTGTCCCTCGACTTGTCCAGGGAAAGTCTGCAACAGAATTAACGGTTTGTGTACTTCCTGTAACGATGGGGACTATGGGGAAAGATGTGAATTAAAATGTCATTGGCCTTGTGCTGAACAAAAATGTAACAAAGGCAATGGAATCTGCACAATTGGATGTGAAACTGGGTTTTATGGACCCTACTGTGGAAGTCTTTGTGGTAATTGCAGCAGTGGTTCTTGTGAGAAATCAAATGGAAACTGTCAACCCTGTAACACAGGCTATTACGGAGCAAGGTGCGATAAACCTTGTAGAAATACTTGCTTAAATCAGGAATGTAGACAGATTTATGGACAATGCAGTAATGGTTGTAAAAACGGCTTTTACGGTTCGTATTGTAACATGACATGTAGTAAAAACTGTGAAGGAGTTACCTGCAACCAAGATGGAACTTGTAGTGGATGTAAACCAAACTGGGCAGGGGATAATTGTAACAGTAAGTTCTTATACATATGTTTAGTCTGCCGTTTTTTATTGTGTCCGTGCTATTCGCAGGTTTTAAATTTTTTATTTATAATGTCTTGATTTGTCGCTTGTAGGAGTCATGTAGACTGTAGATAATTTGATGCATTTATTTGCTTCCTGATAGTACCTTTAAAGAGCCAGGGTTGCCATTTTTAAACTATTTTAATCTCCTTTAGAAGAAGAGCTTCATATGAAAATATAATAAAATGATAAATTTTAAAATTAAACGTAATGAAAAGTGTCCTTGCTAAATGATAGTTGACAGCTAAAGATATCATATGTCAAAATTTAAATTATATCTGGTGGTTATTAAAAAAGTAATTTGTTGAGCACCTGGCTTCGTTAAGAATGTTCTTACCATTATGGGAATAAAATGCGTCGATAATATACTTGTACACGTAGTTTCAATAGCAAAGAAATATTTCATAACATACAGAGAAATGAAAAGAATGTTCTGATTTTCTTTGATACAATCAAAATTCCTGTTATTATCTTTATTGCTTATTTTTTGCGTAGCTTCAGGTAAAAAGGAAATGAAAACATAGGGCGAAGCATATAAGAAACAACGCTGAAAAAAAGCTTTGAAAATAATTTTATACGATCAATGTGAGGAAAATGTTTTTGACATTCATCGATGAACAAAGTCTAGTTATATTATATCAATTCTAAGAATATGCATGAAGCTGAAGTATTTTTTACAGAACATAATTTTAAGTCCAAAAAGTAAAAGTCTTCAGATCTGGAAAAAAATTGCATTGTAAAATGTTTTTCTTATTAAAGAAAATGCCCTAAAAATGATAGATTTGTAAGTCTTATTGACCTAAGTTTATGGACTGTGTTAGGTTAAGTCTTGGTCTCTAGGTATGTAAAACCATTCTCTATCTTAGAAAACAATGAATAGTTACTGTATTTGAGCATTACGTACACTAGATACGTGTATTTGCACATAGCTTTAGTTCATAAGCAAAAAACTTAAATCTGATGCTTATTTCTTATAGAATGTGATTCATCTCATTATGGAACTGATTGCTCACAATTGTGCAGTGTTAATTGTAACAGCCAGATATGCAACAATGCCACCGGTTTTTGCACGTATGGGTGTAAGAGTGGATTCTATCGAGAAAAGTGTGATCAGGGATGCAGTGCAACATGTCCATCGGCGTGCAACAGATATTCTGGGGAATGTGAAGGTGAATGTCCATCTGGCAAGTATGGAAACCAATGTGATAAGACATGCAACATTAATTGTAAAAATGGATGCAGTAAAAGCGATGGCTTATGCAATTCTGGCTGCATTATTGGGAAATTTGGTGCCAACTGTATTCAGAATTGTAGTCAAGGGTGTATTTCCGATTGTCATCAAGTCGATGGGAATTGTACTTGTAAGAAAGGATGGCAGGGACGATACTGTGATGGTATTAATTTAGAAAACACTTTTATTATTGTCAAAATCTATAAATTTTCTAAAACTTATTTTTGGATATAAAATCTGGTGTTTTTATAGTACAGTCATTTTGATCAGCTTTTATAAGTACTAATTACAAATTGCATTTAAGTATTTAATTTCTTTTTTTTTTAGTTTGTAAACCTGATTATTATGGTCAATGGTGTGAATCTCAGTGTAATTCAAACTGCTTTAATGGAACCTGTGTCTCCAACAACGGGTCGTGTATAGGAGGATGTAAGGGGGGCTTTGTAGGCGAGAAATGTTCCATGGGTACATTGACCAGGATATATTTTATATTTTTCTAATTATTTTTTGATACTATTTATTTTTAAATGACAAAATAATTTATAAAGGAACAATAGATCATTAAAAAAAATGATTTTGTGAACTGAAATTAAACTTTGATTGAAAAGATACGACTTTTTAAAACGTTTTAGAAGTAATAGGGAAATGTACATATGTATGATGTTAATATTTATTGTAGTTGGTCATATAATACAAATATTTTATGATCTAAACATTGTTGAGACATGATTGAGTTGCACATATCAATTTAACACTTAAGTATTGACGCCATATGTTTTAATAATCCACTTTCTCATTAAAATTGAGATTTGTCCCCTAATAGTGTTACATATGATAAATAATTCTCTCCTAGAACTAACTGTAAGTGACACGACTTCTTTGCCGACTACAGCTATCGGTGCTGGACTAGGTGCTGCGTTATCTCTATTGGTTTTAATCATCATCGTGGTCATTTTTCTCAGGTATGTTTGAAATATTGTTTGGCATCAATAATTTATATAAAGGAACCAAATCTGTGAAACTTTGAAACTAATACTATATGAGAATGTATAATTCTGTTGGAATTATGAAAATTTCAGTATGATTTTTTAGGTACAAAAGACGAATGCATCAAAATTCCAAATCTGATATGGTTCTCTATAAAAAGAAAGACACTCCATCTTCTGGTAATTAAAATATTCTTACATGCAAATATTTTCCATATATCTTAATATACTTTTGTATTGTTTCATCTTATTTCGAAAGAAAACTTCTCACGTCTTTAATGGTGGTCAGTTCCTTTATTTTTTTTATTTCTTTTTTATGATAACAGAAAATAAGTTGTACACAAACATAGAAAATGTTTCGGTACCGATCGAGGACCCAGAAAAAGAACCACAGCTAGAAAACCCCGAGGAGGCTGTGTATTATAATGATCTGTCTGTAGCTAAGGATATCGCTGTGCCTGATCTACTCAAAATAATCACTCAGAGGGAAGCCAATGAAATGGAAGGATTTCAGAAGGAGTTTAAGGTCAGTACTTAAATATTTTAAGTGAAAATAAGATTATTGAATTGCTTATTATCATTTTCTCTTTGTACAATTTTACATTTCTAAGCCTTCAGCCTTTCGTTTTGTATTTTAAAAAAAAAAATTCTTTCCATTTCAGCATTAGAATGTATAAAGTACTTCATCCAGTAAAACATATGAGCATTCTCTATCAGAGATAAAGTTATTCTTTGATCATTGTGACACGTCCAATTTACATTGTTTTCATTTCAAAGCGTTTATGAATACTGTTTTGCATAATACCCTTTGATCACTGAGCAGTATTTTATCTATTTTAGTCCCTTCCTTATGGAGAAAGATTTGCCTGTGAAACAGCTAAAACAGCAGAAAACATGCCCAGGAACAGATTCAAAACCACTTTTCCATGTAAAATTATTCTTTCTTTTAATTTAGGATTTTATTTTCAATTAGAACCAGCATGAACAATTTTTTTCATCTTTAGAATGTGAATAAAAATTTTAAAAAAATTCTTAAGCAATAAAGTAAAATTTAATATACATTTTATTCTAATATCTAGCTAGGAATGCATTTAATAGTTGCACAGCGTATACGGTTTAAACTTTGTACAGTTTGCGCGTTTTGAATGTTTAGATTGGTGTTTAACTAGGTAAGCATTCCCCATAATTTCATTTTCATCATTTAAAAAACACAATTTTGCATAAAATCTGCCATTTAACTCTGTACAATTTATTTTCAAGTCAAGTTTCTGACTTGGTTTAAGGCGAATATTCAAAATAAACTGATTTTAAAACCAAAACAAGAGCGCTTTACAATCAGAATTAAATTATACATAAATATTTTATATTCGTGAAATGTTCTATCAGAACAGTTTGTAAAATGTGAATATGATAGGTTACAAGTGTAACTTACATGGAATACAGTCCCCAGTGGCGCAGTGGTTAGAGCTCTAGAGTCGCGAAGTAAGGAGTCAATCCTTACGCCGCGGGTTCGAGTCCCACTGTGGGACGTGGAGACCGATCCTTCGGATGAGACCGTATAAACCGAGGCCCCATGTCGCAGTAGGTGCTGGCACGAAAAAGATCCTCACTGCTCAAAGGTCCTGAGTGCAGAGCAAAGGACAAAATTTGTAGCCCTCCACCGGCAAGTGGTGACCTCTCCATATGAGTGAAAATTCTCGAGAGGGACGTTAAACAATATAAAATCAATCAATATATTGAATACATTTTATTCTTAATTATTTTTCAAAGTAGTATGATAATTACCATGTCATGAATTATAGGTACCTTCAATAAAATAGTATGTGATTTAAATCAATAGACACCAATAGTATGTGAATTTAATGCAATAAACAACAATAATAGAAATTCATTTTTGTTTTACAGACGATCATTCTCGCGTTATTTTAGAAGTTGATAATGGTTTCACCTACGATTACATCAACGCAAATTATATCGAGGTAATAAACACATATAATTTACTTTAATATTTTTTTTCTTTTGTGATAGCGTGAACTTAATATTATTTTAATTGCATTGTAACATTTGTGTTTTAGAATGTGGAGGGGGGAAAAGAATTTATAGCTTGCCAAGGTAAGAAAATCAAATTTTCAATATCCATCTGAAAAAAATATTATCCAAACTTATTTAAAAATTATATTATTCCTTTGCATAATAAGAATATTTTATCTTTGAATATTTCTTTCAATTAAAGTTTACTATATTCCTTTAGGGCCACGTGAAAACACTTTAGTTGATTACTGGAGAATGGTTTGGCAAGAACATGTGGAATACATCGTTATGTTGACCAACCTTATTGAGGGACCAAAGGTTGCATGTATAACTTTATATATTGAAGTACAATGTATATTAAGTAATTTATTCAAATTAATATAATTCTTTTTAAAGTTGTCATCACTTGAATCACTGTTTAAAGAAAAATTTCTAATTATAGAAGTTTTTAATCCTCATTTTTGCTGACAAAATCTACTTTAATCTGGTTTTGAAATCAGTTTTAAAGATTTTCTAGTCCTGAAGGAAAATATCTTATCATGGAAAATTCTAATCCTCAGTTTTGTCAACTAAATCTCTTTAACCAGGTTTTGAAATCACAGTTTGAAAGATTTTCTAGTCCTAAAACTGTATCAATTTATGTATGCAAGTTATTTCTATCGTGAATCTTCTTTTAGGTGAAATGTCACCAATATTGGCCAGATGAAGGAAAGAATCTAGAAATCAATCCATTTTCCGTAACTTTGGTAGAAGAAAAAGTATATGCATATTTCGTCGAGAGAAAAATGACTGTTCGGAAAAAGAGGGTATAGAGAAATACACTGTACATGAAGCATAAGGAAAAAAGTAAATTCATGTATTTCATTAAGGTTGATGTACATCATACATTAATAGCAGTGTGTATGCTTATTTAAAGGTCAATGGTTCAAGGACGGTGGTACAGTATCATTACACACGATGGCCAGATCACGGGACTCCCAACCCTCTGAATTTGGTTGTCTTCCATCAAACCTTCTCAGCATCCAATTATTGTCCATTGCAGGCAATTACTAAGGACATACGTTGTATATCAATAGCCCAATTTACGTGTATCATTTTCATTAAATGCTTCAGTACTTTTGAAAAAAAATATGTAGTTACTTCTAGTTAGAAGAAGATAAAGAAGCTTTACTTTTCTTTATATATTTTTCTACCGGTTTACTCTTTAAGAAAGTACTTAAATTTGAAATTTCCTTTTATTTTTGATCGATAAACTGCTCAAAACCAATGTAATTCTTCTCTTCATATATAAACGTGTTACAGTGCGGGGATAGGACGAACCGGGACATTTATTGCCCTTGACGTTCTGTCAAGGTTTGGCAAGGACAAGGGGAAGGTCAATGTCATAGAGTATGTCAAGGCCATGCGTAAAGACAGGATGACCATGATACAGAATGTGGTATGTAAACAAAGAAACTGTTATTTTTAATTATAATTTGAAATTCTTAATTAAATGCTCTATCTTGAATAAAAAATAGAGAGGGATGGAGTTGAAAATGCATTTTTCATATATACAGAGAGAGAATATTTTCTCTAATTGAACTAGTTTGAATTTGAAATATACACAGACAGAAGTAAAGAGAATAACTTGACATTGTTTCATTCTAGGACCAGTACGTATTTCTTTACCATGCTTTGTACGAGTTCTTCAGAAGAAAAGCCCAATATAAGAAGAAAGACGAATTTCTCCACCATTATGGAGATGTCAACAGAACAAATACACAGAAACATCTAACCAATGAATTCAATGTGAGAAAACACAATGTTTATAAGCAGCTATATTTGACAATCTTTTGAACTTTTGTGATGTTTAGATGACAAAAAAAGTATTTGCTTGCAGTTGAAATTAAACAATGCACAATTTGTATACCTTATAGATCTTCATTTAAATTTTAGGAACTGATAAGCTTAAAACCACGATATGATGCCCATGATTTCAAGAGTGGAAAAAAATTTTCAAAACTGAACTTTACAAAATCAGTATTACCAGGTATGTCCTAAACTGCTCTTTTGAATTCGCTTTTTTCAGGTTTTAGCCATGTGAACTTGTTTATGCTTATTTAACATATACAGAGACATTTAAGCGTTGATATAGTTGCGGAATCTTTAGCAATAATGATGAGTTTGCTAAAATGTAATATAGCTTAATATTTACAATTTGCATAAACATTATTGTTTAAAGATATTATTACCTCTCTAAGGACTAAAAAAATCTTTCACTTTACTTATCGTTTAAATTAATGAAACATGGCTAATCTTTAGTATTGGTAAAAAAAATACACATACGGTATCAATTGCACCAGCAATGTTCACTACTTTATTTTTATTTTTTTATTTTTTTTTCTTTGCAGAAACATTGCTTAAGAAAGTTAAACTTTAATCGTGAAGATTATTTTTTAAATGCATCTTTATGATTCTTTTATCTACAGTTGAGCAATATCTGGTGTATCTGACTTCTCATGTTGCTGGTAGAGAGTCGTACTACAATGCAGTGAATGTTTCTGTACGTACATACATTTCATAATTTGGAATATCTTTTGATGCAAAATGGTGTATTTACATGTATATATTATGAGTTTTTTTATTAATGAATATAACAAAGATCATGTCCAATAACTTTTGAAAACTATCTCTGTTCTTTATCATAGAACAAAATTCCAATGATACAATAATATGTGATAAATATGTTGCGTTCTTTACGTGCTATCTTTTGACATTTATATATTCATATTTTGTCAACATGTTACGTTTTTTTGTGCCTTTTTCGTCAGATTTACATTTCCATATGTATCTACTCTCTTGGCATATAGTCATTCACGCGAGCTGAGGAGTTTATATCTGCACAATATCCAGTATCTGGTGCTGCCATAGACCTTGTTCGTCTGCTAATTGATCACGAGTCAGCATTTCTTATTTCATTAAACCCATTATCCGAAGTGAAAGAGGTAATTATAATATCTTTCAATCATTTTTGGTGATAGCTCGATTTTTGATTCTCCAGTTATTTTTTCGTTCTCTTTAATGATATTTCTCATTATAATAAAATTCTAAATTCAATATTTATGATTCTTATTTCAGTTACAAAGCTGGGTAGAGGATAAACAAAATCCTGTCATGTTAAGTCCCTATACAATCACAAAGGGTGCAGAGACATCACTGACCAAGGAGATAAGAAAAATAATTATAAATATTACGAATAAGGAGGTAAATTAATACTTACATTTTCAAAATAGACTTTTATTCAATTATATGTGTTGAAATATCAATATGTTGTAAAGTTAAGTTACCATAGGTATGCATGTAACAAATGATTTTAAAAAGACGTATTTTTGCAGGAAAACTCAGAAAATCATGAAATACAGATATTTGAATGCTTAAATTGGAGCTCCGATGATGCACTGCCGAAAGAAACTTCTGGTTTGACAAAACTCATCAAGCAATTCACCCTTGATCGGAAATATCACCCGGATGGAAATATTACTGTGATATCAAAGTAAATTCTCGGCTTTGGGTATATGTATTGCATTTATTAACAAAGGAAGTTTTGCATGCCCAATCAGACACATTTTGTGAAGGTTGAATTCATACAAATGAAAGTAAAAAAAACTCAAAGGAAAAGACATTTTATTTAAGTACAGTGTCTAAAAGAATAAATAAAATATTAAAACCCAAGCTTTAATCATTCAAAGATGGAGCCAAGCCTCCAGATTATTAAATATGGGTCAATTCAAATGTAAAAAGTTAAAAAATCAAATTAAATCTATTAAAGTTGTCCTCTTTCATTAGAAAAACACATGAAAAAAATTAAATGTTAAAAAAAACGATTTAAATTCGGAGGTCAAGAACATAAGGTGATATTTGTTTTCTTGGTTTTAGTGGGTACAGTTAACCTTAAAATTCTAAGTACATGATGATGATAACAATAATAATGATAATAATTATAATAAATAGATAGTTTTCGATAGGCCTGAATTTAACGAAAGTTACCTCCCGCTTGTTGCCATATTGGAGGTCGACTCGGTGATTTTTCCTCTTTGTCTTACCAAGTTTAAGAGGTTGTAGCAGAAATATTTGGTGGAAAATCTTTAATAAAATTTTTTTTTTAAATAAAAGAGGCTTCCAAAATTTATATACTTCAGAAAAATAATGATTTCTAATTCAAAATAGCAAATATAAAAATTTTAATGAAGGAATAAGATCACTTGGACCTCCAGTATGGCGGCCAACGGGAAATAACTATCACTAAATTCTGGACTATCGAAAACTATCTATGTACTATCAGTCAAATTTCTTTTGGTGAGATAGATACCACATTGTTGTAGGTCATTTTCAAAAACAATTTATTTCTTTATTTTACTTAAAAGGGACGGTGCAACCTGCTGTGGAGTATTTATTGCTGTGTATAACGCCATAGAACAGCTACAACAGGATGATGAGGTGGACATATTTACTATAGTACAGCAACTACAGTGTAGAAGACCGGAAATGATATCTACAAAGGTATATCTTATCATTAACTTTTATTGAATGATGGATAATATGTATACCTATCGAAATATACATGTTTATACAAATTAAATACAACAATTATCTACAAAGGTACATTTAAATTCAGTTTACCACTGTTTTATCAAAATAAAGATATCTTTGAACTTTGATTTATCTTTGATAATTCATCTTATAGGTAGGTATTCGTATGTTACACATGTACAAGCTTGCATTATTTTGTGATAATTTCTGCTGGTTGATATAAGATTTCATTTTTATAAAGTACGATTTGTGTTATGTTTGTATTATTCGAGTTTCATTAATTAATTTACTCCTTCTAAATCATTTATAAATAACTTTAATTCTGGTGTGATGTTCATGTAATAACAAGGTAAAAATAAAAAAAAGTACCATTAATTATGAATTCGACGTAATTTGTTTTATATATGTTTTATTTCAGAAAGAATATGAATTCTGCTTCAAAGCAGTATCTGATTTTCTAAATACAGACAATGTGTATGCCAATTCTTAAAAGAAAAGAATTGAAAGACACTTAGAAGACCATTGCAAACAAAAATTTGATAAAATGAAAAAAGTATATTTGTAAAATAGTATTTTATTGTGCATGTATATATATATATATATATATATATATATATATATATATATATATATATATATATATATATATATATATATATCTACGTTTTTTCTCCTATCATTGTTTTTAGCGTTATTTAAAAGACATTTCTAGTCATAGTTTATTAGAAATTAAGCACATATAGTATTCTCATTTTGATATTTACTAGGAACTATTTTATCTTCTAACTCTTCATCTAAATTTATTTTTATCGGTTACCTTTTTGTGATATGATCATTTGTAAACCGTTGGCTAAGAAAAAAACCTCTTTAAATTATCGTTTATTTTTCTTTTTTGTACTTATCATAAGTTTTGTAGAAAGATGTATATCTTTTTTTTCTTGATATAAAGGTTTCTGTTATTAGTTAAAAGAACATTATTTTTTACAGGTTGTTAAACTTGAAGGCTTTAAAGCTTA